CAGTTGCACGAATGGCTCGGGCAAGTGAATCATGGGACGGGTGCCCCGTGTCCACGTGGAGCTGCGCGATGGCGGACCGTAGTGTCCGCTCCTCCGCGGCCGTGAGCGGTGGCTCCTGAGCGGCTGCGGCGGCCGGAACCGTCCTTCTTCTTGCCCTTCTCGTCGTCGATGTAGGGTGAGCTTCTCGCGCAGGTCGGCAGTTCGGACGTCGCAGCTGCTCGGCTAGCGCCGTCGCGAGCTTGGTCGTGTAGTTCTCGCTGCGCTTCGCGTCCTGCCCGCGGGCCTCTGCGCGAGGGTGTCCCCCGCTGCGGAAACGCCTGAGCGAGTCGTCGAATCCGAAATGGTCGGTGATGATCCGTCGCGGCTTCTTGATGTGGATCCCATTCTTTATCTTGAGGTTGAACGCGCAGCCGTCGAAGTCCAGGGCGCGCGGAAGCTGCTCCATCAGCTGCTTGGCAATGGCTCTCTTGTTGGGTTCCCATCCGTCGCAGTACCTCGGCCACTCGAACGAGACGGCGAGCTGGGCGCCGAACTCCTCGCGCAGCCGTGACATGGACTGCAGGAACAGGCCGATCATCTGCTTGGATTTGTCCCGATCCCTTCTGAACTTGGGGATCTTGCTCGGGTCGATCGCACGGCTGGCAGGGAGGCGCAGAGTGAACTCGCACAGTCTTGCCTGCGGCAAGGTGCTTCCGGATCCTGCCCTCCAGCTTCTGAGCCACGACCTGGTTGGAGAGGTCGAGGCTTGGAAGACCGCGCCTGACAGCAGCTCCTCCCTTCTTCCCTTCTTCTTCCAGGCGGCGCTGAGCTTGCTGTCCAGGTTACAGCACCACTCGTAGAGCACGGTGCTGTTCGCTGCGGAGGTCGGGCTGGGTCTGGTTGTATAGACTTGGCCAGGTTAGTAATCAAGTCCTGGCCGATCTTGTGCGGCTGGATGCCGCTCTTGCTGGTGACGAATACTGAGCGCTTGCCAGCGATCAGCTGCGGCTTCGTCCTTCGCGCGTAGCTGCTCCTCCTCCGCGATGTTGGCCTCGGGTGCGAGGCAGCCATTGGCGATGGCGTCCTGGCCGTGGCTCAGGGTTACGGGCGTGCCGAAAACGCAGTCCGAGCATCGCCTTTGGTGGCTGCGGGCCTCGAAGGTCGTCTCGCCACAGGCGATGCAGTCCTGCAGGGGCTCGGTCACGCACGTCGTGGGGTAGGTCGTTTGCGGCAGCGTCGCTAGCGTGGGGTTCGGAGCTGGAGCTGCGGTGGAGCAGCAGACCAGAGTTGAGGCTACGGCCGGCTTCGGTCGCCGAGTCTGGAGACGTCTCGGAACGTTCAGCTCCTTCTTCGTGACGAGGTTGTTGATGGTGTCGATCAGCGCACTGGTCCTGGTAGTGTCGTTGACCGTGGGCCGGTCGCCTGTCCTCGTCTTCCGATCCCCTCGGTCGAGCATCTTCTCGACCTCTACGTCCAGGGTCTCGTCCAGCTGTCGCTTCCTTCCGGACGAGCTGGCTGCGCTAGGCGGTTGCTCCGTGCCGGCATCCGTGATGGCTTGCCAGTCCTGTGGCTGCAACTTGATTGCGGGGTGGCCCGCGGCGCTCGTGGTGAGTTTTTGAGTGGCGTTCCCGATGCGGATCTGGCCCTTCCAGAGAGAAATGACGAGCATGGAGGGCTGGGTGAAGTCGCGGCCGATGAGCAAACCCAGCGTGAGGCTGCTGTCCACGACGCTGAACACGATGCGGCCAGCCTGGCCTCACAACACAAGCGGCGCGGTGACGCGCAGCTTGCTTGGGAGTGCACCTCCGTTGTCGAACCTGTAGACCTCGTCCTCCAGCTCCTCGAGGATCTGGTCGGCAAGTCCCATCGTCGTGAGGATGTCTTTGTAGTTGTCGTACCACTTCTTGCCCGAGACGCAGAAGAGGCAGGCGGTGTCGACCGCGCCGACGCCTTCGTCCACGGCTTTGTCGCTGCCGATCGCGACGTTCACGTTCGGCAGGTGGTGAATGAGCCGCTCCGAGACACAAGTCTCTGGGGGCGGAGTGACTGGTCCCTGCGGGTGCAGGGCGATCTCCTCATCCGCGGACTGGACCTGCTCGGTGATGCGCGCCCGGCGCTGAGGACGGCCTCCGCGACCTCCTCGTCCACCGCCCTTTGACTCGCCGTCCTTGGGCGCGAACTTGCGTGCACCTGGCGTGGGGCACTCCTTGTCTCCTGTTCAGTGTCCGGTCTCGCCGCAGTCCCAGCAAGAAGTGTTCCTCTTTCGCTGGTCGACCTGGTCCTGTAGCTTGGTCGGGCGGCGGTTCGGTGCGGATTTCCCCTTGCCGCGGCCCTTGGGGGCCTCCTGAGCCGATCTGATGGTGGCCATGGCCTCGGAATAGCGGCAAGTTCAGCTGCGGCAGCTTCGACCTTGGCAGAGTCGTCGCCGTCGACAGCTCGGAGACGTCTACGTTGGAGGACTCGAGCTCGGCGCTGAAGGCCTCGAGCTCCTGGCCAACCATGTCCTGGACGTCGGTCTCGTCCTCGTCGTCCTCCTCTTTTTCTTAGTCGTTCTCGTCGCCCGGCTCGTCGACGACATTGGTAGAGCGCCCCCCGCGGCTGGAGGAAACGTTGCTGCGCCAGCCGCCTTGTGGGCGCGACTGGTTGGTCCATGGCCGTGGCGGAGGGGCGCGGCGCTCCGACGTATGTGTATTTGGGGGCATCCTGACCGGCAGCTCGCGGATGCGCTGGTAGCCGTAGTGCTCGTCGGGCAGGTTGCCCACGACGCGCTCTCGGCGCTAGCGCTCTGCCGTGGGCCCAGCCCTGCGCGGCAGGAACCATCCCGCCACGTCGTCCAGCGCGTTGAGGTCCACCCCATTCTCGCGTAGGTGCTGTAGTCCAGTCTCGGATCGGATGAGCCATTCCGTCGTGCGGTCGCCTCTCCGTCGGTGATGTTGAGTCGACTCGAAGAACTTCTCGAGGGTCTCGCCCTTCTGCGCGGCCTTCTGCTGACCCACACTGGCCTCCAGGTGTTGTGGCACGTTCTTGATGTCGGTGCGGTTCCTATTGCGCTTCTTGTCATCGGGGTCTTCGACGTCCGCCGCTGCTGCGCCGCGGGCAGTCCTACTTAGCTTCAGCACGAGCTTCGATGCGAGGCTGTGGGCCACGGCGAGGTTCTCACTGGACTTCCAGAGCTTGACCTCCTGTTTGTGATATTTCCACTTTGCCGGGTCGCCATTCCATGTAGTGATGGTTTTGTAGGCATAATTATCCGTCATTATGTCGAGAAGAAAGGAAAAGTAGCTGGCGTCGCTGACACCGCTGTCGGAGGAGTAGCTGTTGATGCTGGCGTCGCTGACGCTGGCGTTGGAGAAGTAGACGTTGATGCTGGCGTCGCTGACGCTGACGTAGGAGAAGTAGGCGTTGCTTGCGTCGCTGACGCTAGCGTTGGAGAAGTAGGCGTTGATGCTCGCGTCGCTGACGCTGGCCTGGGAGAAGTCGGCGAAGTAGTCGTTGATGACGGCGTCGCTGACGCTGTCGTGGGAAAAGTAGGCGTTTATGTCGGCGTCGCTGACGCTGACGTACGGGAAGTAGGCGTTGGTGACGGCGTCGCTGACGCTGTCGGGGAAGTAGGCGTTGATGACGGCGTCGCTGACGCTGTCGGAGAAGTAGGCGTGGATGTCGGCGTCGCTGACGCTGACGTAGGAGTTGGCAGGGTAGGAGTTGATGACGGCGTCGCTGACGCTGTCGGAGAAGAAGTAGGCGTTGATAGCGTCGCTGACGCTAATGTACGCACCGAACAACAGCGCGAGCAGGAAACCGCTGGGCTTCGATTCCGTGGGTCGCGACGGCTTCGTCGTGGCTGCAAAAAAAGATGGCGCGCAGCGCCAAGATATGAATGGCGCGCGGCGCCAGGCAGCTGAGACTCGCTCCGAGCTACCACTGTGATATGGAAGATTGTCGATGGATCTTCTTACCCGCGGCCTCGCGAGGGGCGTAGCTCTAAGGCCAAGGGCCGTAGTTCGAAATAAAACGGCAGCGGTGGGCAAGGGATGCAACACAAAACCTTTCGGGAGTTAGCTTGAGTCACAGAGGGTTGCCCGTGAGTGCCTCGTGGGCGCCCCGTGTGCTGGACGGGTGTGCCGAGGTTTCGCCACGCCGCCCGTGGGCGCCTCGTGTGGGCACCTCTGGCGCTGGGCGGCTGCATAGGTCGCACCATACTGCACCGCATGTATTGCACCACGTAGCTTTCACAGCACAGCTTTTGCCGCATAGTTCTCTCCACATACCTTGCACCACACAGTTTCACTTGTAATCTTGCACCACATATTCTGCTAGCGTGCGCCACACCTCTCTACACATCCACGCTGCAATGGCATACTGTCTGGGGTCCACGATGGCAAGCACTCGGGCACTTAGCGAGGGTGCCGAGGCAACGGCGGCGGTGGCAGGTAGAGGGCTCGAGGGGACGGACGTGACGGCTTGGGGGGGAAACAGATCTTTTCAGACGCCCCCCTCGCGAAGATGGCCCCTATCGCTGGAACATGTCGCGCCGTCAAGGTCTTGCAGGCAATCGATCGTTGCGCGAATGCGAGGCCATTCCCGAACAGTGCCTCGGACTTTGCTCCTGACAGAGGTCAGATGTTGTTCCTACATAGTTTCCTGGGGGTCACCTGCCGCAGTCGCCAGATCTGGCGCGGTGCCAGTGCGGTGGGTTCCCTCGTGCCAGCGAGAAGATGGTACCCCTCCTCTCCCCCCTCCCTCTCCCTCCACTGCCCCTTTCCCCCCCCCTCTCCCTCCTCCCCAAATCCACATTCGAACACTTACCATCCTGTTACTCGGGCGCTTTGCTTGCGTAGTTTTCGCAATCGGGCAACTTCTCGAAGATGTCCTGGACCGTCACTCAAGACCAGTCCTCCTAGGGTGGAGAACTTCGGATTCAAGGATCTTCGGGCAGGAGAACGTTTTACGTTTTTTTTACGGGGGGTTCCTCAGGATTTTTGTTGGGGGTGGGCATGGCCGCTGTCGCCTCTCCCGATCAGCGCGTCGCGATGTGGGGGCCAGATGGGCCAGCAATATGCGGGCTCCTACGCCGCCCAGTTGGCCGACCGAAAGTTCATGGGTGACCTAAGGGGAAGATAAGTACCAGGGGAAGGGGCCAAGACATGGTGGGATAATCTCCATGCAGGCCCCCAACTTTACTTTCGCACCTGTCCCCCCGCCCCCAGAGACTCCCCGTGTGGTCCAAGCCAGGAGCTTTCGTCAGCCTGCCCAGCCGACTGTCAATGCTTACCCAGGCCAGTCAATGCACGACTCGTCCTGGCCACCCGCTGGGAGCTAGAAGCAAGGGCCTTCGGCGATGAGCAGCTCGTACCCTGCGCAGCCGACGGGCAGCGCTCGCCCCGCGCAGAGGCTGGGCAGCGCGCCGCCAGCCATGCGAGGGCCAAAGGAGCGGGCATCAGGAGTAGCCCTGCGGGGGGGGGGCGCGCGCGCGTGTGGGAGAGGGCTCTCAGCCATGACTGTCTTGAACGTTACCTTACAGCTCGGGGTGCTGATACCTTACCCAGTGCAGACAGGAAATTTTGCATCAGCAGAATAAGTTCTTCAGACCAGTGCGATCTCACTTGGAATATCCGCAAGCAACTTGCGGTAGAACCGATAGTGGTTTTGCTTCCCGTCGGAGCTGAATATGCGCGCGACATGCGGTGTCCACCTGTGTATGTTTTTCCACGTGCAGCCGACCTTCTGCCGTACTATGTCGTACTAGCTGACCACATTTTGCTGTCTTCAGCTTTTCATAGTCCCTAGCGATGGTGTCTCCACAGCACGTGACGCCCATCCAGATGCCTGCTATAAGTCCCGCCACCGTGCCGGCGCAGCAGCCAGATGGTTCCAGGATGGTTTTACCATGGGTTCCATGGCAACCCTGGGGGCCCCCAGGTGGCTCTTAGGCCGTCCGGAGCGCAAATATCGTCATGCAGGCCGTCATGAAGGGCCGTCAGGCCGTCTTGGAGTCGTCTTGACCAGCTCTTTGGGCTGAGTGGGTGTATCCTGCGGTTGAAGAGTTGCAAGCGAGGATTCAGGCACAAGGGGTTGGTCCAGCCCCTTCAGCTTGTTCACTTGTTCCGTGGCTGGGACGGCGTCCACAGGCAGGGCCCCTGCGCCGTCACCCCTTTTGAATCTCCCAGAGCCAGTCTTGGGCGGGTATCGGACCGTTTCGTGGACATCTCGGGGCTGCTCGTGGCCGCTTGAGTGCTGCTTCCAGGGCGTCTCGGTCTTGGGGACATTCTGTGATACTGTCTGCCCCTTGGATCGACAAAAGGTGACAGGCAGGCAACGGCAAACCACGTATTGTTTTTCAGTGTCTTTCGGGCTGTTTGCAATTGAGGCTATCTTGCGCTCTTGAGACGCCTGGGGGTTCTGCGAACTGTCTGGAATGGTCTTGGGGCCGTCCGGCAGACATCTTGCTCTTCTTGACTCCGAGAAGGGCGAAAGTGACGAAAAGATAGGGGGGGCGATCCCTAAGAGGGTCAAGCGATGAGTGGGTTCCGCATTTGAACACGCTTCCCCCTGCCAGGGGACACATTGGCGGATGTCTCCAGCGTCATGTCGTTGATTTCTCTTGGAGTGATTTAAGGGCGACGGCAATGCATCATCGAGTGCAGTTGAACGTAGAGCAGGCGACCCTCTACTCTACTTCTAAGGCCATCCTTCGGTTGACAAGGAGGTTGAGTTGGAAGATTGGCTCAGCTTCCTGTTTGTGATGGTATTGTGTCGCATTGGTAATCCATGTGTTCTGAATGGCTATCAGTTTTGTTACGACGAGCTAACCCTCTGCCGATCGATTACTGTATGCATCTTTCCAGCATCATTACCCAATTTAAGACCATGTTACCCAGCGTGGGCCCAAACAGAGTGTTTCTAGCAATGAATGTTGTACATTCTTTGTGTAGCAATTCATGTTTTGCCATATGCGTGGTGCAGTCTATGTTGTGCAATTGATTTTAACAAGCGAGTTGACACATCCCGCGCTCTTGCACACATCCCACTCACCCACCCGCAACTTGGTTTGCAAAACCCACGACGACGATGACGACGCCGACGACGACAACGACGACACCGACGACGACGACGTCAACGACGCCGACGACGACGACGACGGCGGCGACGACGACGCCGACGTCGGCGACGACGAAGGCGACGACGACGCCGACGCCGACGACGACGACGAAGACGACGACGACGTCGCCAACGAAGACGACGACGAGGGAGGAGGGAGGACGACGACGGCGACAACGACGACAACGATGACAACGACGAGGGAGGAGGGAGGACGGCGACGACGCGAACGACGAAGAAGGAGGAAGGACGGCGACGCCGACGACGACAACGACGAGGGAGGAGGGAAGACGACGACGACGACAACGACGAGGACGACGACGACGACGGCGCGATAGGAGGGACGACGACGAGACGCCGACGACGGACGACGACGACGACGACGAGGGAGGAGGAGGAAGGACGACCACGGCGACAATTACGGCGGAAACGACCACGACGCCAAAGAGGACGACGACGACGAACACGAGGAAAGACATAGGACGACGTAGGCGACGACGACGACGACGTGGGAGGAGGGAGTACGGCGACGACGATGACGACGACGACGCAAGAGCGCGCGCGCGCGCGCTTTTGTTGAAAACTCGTGTTGAGACACATTCGGTTTTTGTTGTTTTTTTGGACACGATTGTGAAATTCTTCCGAAACCGATGGGTTTTCAAGGTTTTCGGCATATGCGCGCGACGACGCGCGCGTCTGCACTTCGTCCCATTTTCTGCAGAGGATTCTCGCGACGGCACACGCGCAAGGGCGTTCGACAGATTTCGACATGCGCGCGCGAAGCCTGTTTAATATCATTTTGTGAAAATCTGGAAACATTGTTTCTTCTTAAAAAACAAGAGCGCAAGAGCTCGCTCGGAAGCTTTTTTAGCACAGCAGTGTTGCGAAACTTTTTTTTTGAAACTCGATTGCGAAATCCTTCTGGCACCGAAAGTTTTTTCGAAGGATTTCGGCATGCGCGCGCGAGCGCGCGTGCACTTCGTCCAATTGGTTGCAAGGGATTCGTGAACAGGTGCTATGTTAGAACAAAAAATGCCACACATGTGGTCAGACTCGTATTTGATTTACATACCCGAAAAGGTGAAGCGATAAGGCCGAGGGGGGGTCGATCCTATTTTGTTTTTTCGAGAGGAGAATCAATGTTGTGCAATCTGGGTTGTGCAATATTGGTTGAGCAATCTGTTTGGTGCAACTGAACTGCCGAACCCAGAGTTGTCAACATTGCTCGCGCAATTATCTCACCCATCCACCCGCAAGTTGGACTGCTTGGCGCTGGCTGGCGCATCGTTGCGGCTGCGCTAGCGCGCAGGCTCGCGCGCGCAGCGGCCAGCTGACCGCTGGGCACCTCCCAGCGCGTCTCGCAGGCCGCGCCGACGCGCGAGCACTTCAGCGCGAGTCGGTGACTCGAGCGGGCGCGGTTTGATGGCGACGCCGAATACGGCAGACACGATGATAGTAGCGATGATGGTGGCGACGATGTCGATGGCGACGGCAAGGCCAATGACGGCGCCGTTGCTGATCACGCCAGTGACGATGATGGTGTTAACGTGTCGGTGATGAAAGTACCCGAAAGATTTCGACATGGCCGCCGCCGACGTGCGCGAGTTGCCCGCGTGCTCTAATTCGAACGGTGTGCTCCACCAGCATCCAATGAAAGGCTTCCGACTTATTTCGATTTGCGCGTCATAAGCGCAGTTTTTTTGGAACGTCGAATTTCCGGAAGCTTTGGTTTGATCGCGAGAGTTGGCACGGGCGCGTGCGCAGAGATTTCTTGGATCGGCCATGGGGCGCAATTATTTTTAAATGTTCTGAAGGAGCACGATCTTGAAACCCTTGCGAAGCCGATCGGTTTTCGTGTTCGGGAAGTTCTTGGCGCTTAG